ATGATATGTATGAAGAATTAAAAAATGAGAAGGGAAGCAAAACAAAATACTGAGCAGATAATTGAGGGTAAAAACTGGGTAACTGTCTTAAATCTGTTCCAAAGTTCAGCCTGCTCCTCAGATCCTCAATAAAAACTAAAAAGACCTGTGTCCAAGAGGCATGCGCAAGTTTGCTTTAATAGAAAGTAGGAAAAAAATAAGTTTAAAGTCAGTGAAACCTGGAACGGGCCCAACCAGTGTGAGGACTTTAAAACGCTGGTCCTGGTCTGGCACTGCGATTTTTCACTTTAAGTAAGTGGTTTTGAGTTTTATTTGAAACTTTAATAACGATTGAATACAGAGATCTGAGAAGGTTGTTAATGTTTTCGACATCTTCATTTGTTTGTCCAGGGTTGTCCGTTAAGGAGCGACGTGAAGCTGAAATCTCACAAACATGCAAAACTGAAGTCAGATTTGAAAGGAATATTGTTGAGATGATTTCTCCCAAGGCGGGACTGTGGGGCCCTCTCTGTAATGAGATATATAGTAATAGGTAGGTATAGGGTATATAGTATATATATGTATACCGTGTAGTCGGATGTATGTAATATGTGTATGATTATGTAATTGTTGTATATATATAGTAGAGTGTATGTATAATACATACACATACATATATATACACACATCAGTATTTTGTTTTGTACTTTTCATTTTTAATTTATTTTAAACTTATTTGTTTTATTTCTGCCTGCTTAATTTATTTGGTTTTTAGAGTAACTCTAATTAAATATATTTATACCTGTAAAATCAACTGTATTTATTTTATTGTCATTTGTCCTTAAAACCTACTTTATTTAATTTTAACTCCACTCTTATTATTATTATTACCTGTGAAACACTTTGACCAGCAATAAACTGAATAAAATGTTCTATATAAAAAAAGTTTGATGGACAAGTTAAAAAACATTTTTGTTAGTTGGAATAAAATAAAAACTGTGTAAACTAGTAACTGTGCACTTAAAAAATAACCTACAATAAAATAAGAATATACAGGATATTTCAGGAGGATGTTTGCAGACCTTTTTCACAGCAGCCATTTTGACTTGAAATAGGGTAAACACAGGTGGTGCTAATTAAAGAATTTAAATAATAAGGTCTACTGCCTTCATAAAGTGTTTGTACTGTAAAACCTGGACTGAACTTATAAATCAACAAATATTATAATAAAACTAAAACATGAAAACTAATAAAAACATTTTTAAACCATGAAAACTGATAAAATAAAATAACTGGTCGGTATCAGGAGATTAAAACACGTCAGTCAGAAAGAATGAGCCTGTTTATTAGCCCTCATGTTAATCATCATCATCCATCTTCCTCTTCCTCGGCCACCGACAGTCTCGTGGCTCGGGTTCATACACAACTCTATCTGTCAATAGAATCTAATAGAAAAATCTGCAGGTTACAGTTAGGACGTCGGTCCATTAGAAAAACAACAGAAACCATGAAACCAAAAAGCTCCACGCCCCCCCTTCAGGACGAGGGATCGGGGCTAGGAAGATCTAAACCGGAGTGGGCCGGCGACGCTGTGTCCGGTCCTGGTTCTGGAACGTTGGGACCAGTTGGTTACTGGTTTAGACCCAGTACGGGTTCAAGCACTGAGCCTACAGAACCGGACACCGAGCCGCCGTCCACTCCGGTGTTTTTAAATCATTTTTCGGGGAGTAAAACCCCCTCACTACAGCTCTCCTCGCCTCGCCGCCGCCACGCTAACAAGTGGCGGGAACCGCTCAACGCGCCTCACCAGACGCGTTGAGAAATCCCGCTGACTTTTTAACGCGGCAACGTGGAGACGGACAGAGACAGAAAGACAAGGAGAAGAGATAGAGACAGTTAGCCTAGCAGTCTTGAGAATATAACACTCAGCTTCTCTTTGCAAATCGGTTAGACACAACATGTGAATTAAACAATCTCATTTTAACAGGATAACAAAGTACATTTTTAACTGGAGAGCACCCGCCAGAGAGTGGAAATTTACACAAACCATATTATCTTATCGACAAACTGAATATTCATGAACAGATTTAAATAGACCCCTGTACAGGAGAACTCATTATTATCGTCGTCATTATTATTATCATCATCATCGTCACACATACAAGAAGCAGAACCACTGATTCAATATTCAACGCAACAACAGCCAGATCTCCCTCAACGCAAGACAAACCTCTCTGTGGTCCGACACGCACGACGCCGACGCACACTCACTGCTAACAAACACACAGCTACGGCCGGAGTTACACCTCTACAAACGCACGCCAACGTCTCATCTGTGGGCGACTGTAGGCTGAATTCACAAGTCTCCCGGATCTAAAACGTGCGTTAAAAAACAAGCTAGCTGCTAGATCCAAAGTCCTGCTGGGAGGTGGGCTCGAAAACATTCGTAGACGTCTAAAAATAAACTACGCAGACTTCTCTGGAAAGTTCGAGAAGCATAATCCAGCCGCGACAGACACACAGCGAACAGCAGCCAACCACGTTAATCTAATATACTCACAGTTGAGCTCCAGAACAAACACCGCTGAGACGTAATGTACAAAGTGAAGCTAACCCGTTCATACCACCACACACTGTTCAGCTAACGTCACATTCACAGAAAATATTCAAAGCCGTAACCCCGTTTACAGTTACGCCAAATAAATTGAGTTATTATAATTAGTTTTTACATTATGGCAGTTCGATAGCTAGTAAAATTAAATGCAAACAGTGCATAGCTTCTTTTTAATTAGCAAAATAGATTATATTAGTGTTTGTGTTGGGTTTTATTCAGATGTTAATGCCAGTGGAGGTTCTTTGGAGCCATTTTGTCACTGGGTTGTTTACTTTATCTTCAAAATGGGAAATATCTCAAGAAATTCACAATATCTCCGATTTGGAATCACCACTAGAATTAGTTTTCCTCATTCAGCCATCGACTGTCTGTACTTTATGTTGTGAGTGCACAGGTTTCGCTAATAGCTAACAAACACCGAACAAACAGAAACAGACACATTCACTCAAACAACTAAAATTAACAACGCGCATGTTCAGTAAAAGATAACTCGATGCTCACAAAGCTAACACAAACACATTGTTCAGACAAAACATCTTTCGGTTGTACATTCAGCTAATTAAACAGCTAACACACACACACACACACACACACACACACACAAACACACACACAGAGTTGAGGTAACGCACATCTTTTTGCTAACAAACATTTAGCTAACTCGCGCATTTAGCTAACGCGCTCGGTTAGCCATCACATCGCTAATAGAATCGATAACTTCATTGTTCAGCTCCGAACACTTCTTCCACAAACAAATCGGCAAAAGTAGAAATGCAGAACTAAGTTACAACAACAATAATAAAGTTTCACTTTGTAAGAAAATAGTCATTTCCCGCCTTTTTGTAATGAAAGTTGAGGCGGGGAAACATGGTGTCAGCTGGAGGTTAAATCCTGTGTTTGACCACAGAGAGATCTGGCTTTAGACAACGCAATATAAATCGTCATTTATTCATCATTACATCATAAAAACTAAAGAATCACTATAGAGATACAGGTATAAGAACTATCATCAAACCAAAAGAAAACAAACGCGTCATTGCACCTCCAAGATGGCGACTTAACAGGTAAAATTAGATCGAGAACAAACAGACCCAGCGAGCACAAATTTAGTACAAAAAACAGTTTTTGTCTCTGACGGTAAAACATTAAATTTCCATCTGACGCTATTAAAATATTTCTATGCCAAAATAAAAAAAAATAATAACTGAGAGTCAACACACACAATCTGACGCATGCTTTAAAACATTATCATAAACAAAATAATAATAATAATAATAATATCTGATTTTCTTACTCAAGACTGCTAAGCCTTATACCGTTTTCTTATTGGAAAATAAAACTAGACAAAATATAGATTATACTGGATTTTTTTTGTTCAAAGCCACACTGATACATCTTTAAGTTCAAGTTTGATAAAAAACAAAACAAAAAGAAAAACCAGGTCTACACTGTGGAGAGACCAGAGGCTAGTCCAAAAAAATCTGCCCGACAAAATATCAACTTTGTAAGGTTAAAAAACAGAAAGAAAAGAGTTCGTGATTTTTCAGTTAATCCTTAGTTTTTCTCTACAAAAGGAAGGAGGAAGCGGCAGAGCGTTGCTAGGAAACCCCGATTCGGTTGCCGTCGACGACCATCCGAGGCCTTCACCGGCGAGGGAGGAGCCTCTAGTGATCCTAAAGAGACAGGAAATGACATCATTGTAGTAAGGTTTAAAATCCACCTGCAGGCGTTCAAACAGGGTTCCTCGTTAAGAAATCAATGTCCAGGACTTTTTCCTGATGGTAGACATCCAATCATTTACCGGTACGTCTACCACAGTTACACATTACAGGCGGCGGGTTTATCGGACACTGCGTTCGACTTCCTCATCACAGCCGATATTTGTGGCGCGGTGATGAACTGACTACAAACACAATTAAAGCCGTTAAACAGCAGAGATTATTTACAATCTGTGTAAATCTGCAGGTTTTCGAGGACGCGTGGGAACCCTGAGTAAAGTAGAAACCAGAACCTGGTTCCTGCCGAGGTTCCTGTCGAGGTTCCTGGGGGGTTACCTGTATCTGGGCGGGGTTCCACAGGTAGGGCTGCTGTCTGTAGTATTCTGCTAACGCTGCAGTGTAGTCTGGCACCGAACTCTGCTGAGACGACTGACCTGCAGACACACAGACAGGATTAAAATACAACGAGTGGACACAGTAACATCATCAGCAAACAGTTTATTACCACATTCAGCAACAAGGAGATTCTTCTGGACTTTGTGTCTCCTGGTGAAGTTCAATATTCTCTCTTTCAGCTGTTTCTGAGGGAAATGTCTCTTTAATACTGACTGATAGCACAGTGCAGGTACATTACAGTTATGTGTTCTTACAGTAGAAGAACTCTGCATTAGGAGAAACATTCCTGTCTCTGCGCTGTGTGGAGAGTTTCTGTACCAGAGTTACCTGTTTGTTTCAGTCGTCTCTACATATGAGAGACAGAGATGATCAGATCAATGAAGCTCCATGTAGCCAACACGATTAGTTAAAAAAACACCCTGATTGGCACCAATACTGATCTTTAAGTCCGGATCAGGATCCAAACACTGAAGTAAGAAATGCTGCAGTTCCTCTAATGACCACTTGAAGCTGGCATATATTAAGACAACGAGTGAGACAGTCTGAGGACAGAGCACACAGTCCGGGTCTATCGCGGCTCTGACCCGGACTCTGACTCTCTGATTGTCGGGGACAGACAGACAGACGTACTTTGTTTCTTGTAGTAGTCCTCCCAGGCCTTACTGTAGTCTGTCATCAAGCTCTGAGGCTGGTTCTGCTGACCTACAAACACAGGAACACACAGTCAGAACAATTGTACTCACATCCTTTACTACAGTGACCTGACAGTACACAGACAGAACACAGACAGTACACAGACAGTACACACCAGACAGAAACTGACGAGCAACACCTGACAGCAAAAGCGTACACAGACAGGCGGAAACACGGACAGCGAACACACAGTGACAAGAACACGAGACAGACAACAGACAAGAACACAGCAACAGTACGAAACAGTGAACAAGACAGTACACTGACAGTAACTCGACACACAGTACATCTGACAGTATACTGGACAGTACGACTGACCAGTACACAGAAACAGAAACACAGACAGTACACAAGCACAGTACACAGACAGTACCACAGGACAGTCACAGCAGACCAGAAAACACCAGACAGTACAACAGACAGAACCAGACAGAACACAGAACAGAACACAGACAGTTAACACTGGACCCAGTAACACAGACAGACCACGCAGTGACACTGAAAACAGTAACACACGACGTAAACAAGACGAGTAAGCCAGGACAGTAAGGAACGCACAGAACACCAGACAGAAAACAAGACAGAACCTAAACTGTGATCCACACAGTATTGCAGATCCCAGACAATCTACAGAGCGGTATTTTTTGATCTGGAACCACCGTTCTACTCTGTTTGGTCTGCTTTCACGGGTTCTCCTGACCTGGACGTTTTAAAGTGATCAGAAAGGAAAGTAATCGTCACTGGAAATAAACCTCTGTGTGTGCGTGTGTGTGTGGAACTGTGCCTACGCTTTGTTTAATTAGTGAACTGCGCTCCCATGCTTTTTAGAGGTAAAGTCATTCTGTCACTGTCTGAGCCATACTGTGACCATACCACACCCACACACACACAGACACACACCACACACACACACACACTCGGGTTTGAGTCCACAGTTATAGATCTCTTTGCTGTTGTGTGTGTGTGTTGATGTGTGTGTTGTGTGTGTGTGTGTGTGTTGTGGTGCATAGTGTCTACTGCTGCTGGTGAGTGTACAAGGTGTGCTTTGCTCCTTAAATATTTCTGTTAAAACATATTTTATCTTTTAACAGTAATTTTGTTAGATTTTTTTATATTGATAATTCTTTTCTGTGTCTCTCCCTGTGTGTGTATTTGATAAGTTTTTTCAGTGTGGGTGTGTGTGTGTCGTGTGTGTGTGTGTGTGTGTGTGTGTGGGTTTACCTGCGGTCCTTGTTGTCCAGGGTTA